ACAATAGCATCAAGAGTTGACTCAACTCATCAAGGAAACTCTTTTTATTACTTTGGTCATTGTGGAACCCAAACACATACATCCTCAACTCTCCCTAAGCAAACCTCACTTTTAGGTTGTAGCACTCAAAACGAGGATTGTGGAAAATACACTCATCTCTCTCAAAGAAAGGTCACAAGTCCGGCTCTAAGTGCCATAAGTTTGCCCCTTATGTGAGTCACCACTAATGTAAGCTTCATTCAACTCAAAATCATATAGGGCTTTTGTGGAAATATAGTGAAGGCTTTTTGTTCAGGGTAGGAAATATTTGGTCTAAGTAGATTCTATCTTCCCTTAAGCACTTCATTTTCTTCATTTTGGCACACATTCTCTTGACTTTTTAAGTCATTTACTTCTTTCTTAGGGGTCAGAGAGACACATTGTCACTCTTTCTTGTTCATTTCAAACCTTTTTCTCCTTTCTAAACTTTCCATACCTTTCATCTCTTTACTTTTATTGAATTCCTTCATTTCTTCTACATTGTTCATTTTTTTGACTTTTTGATTTTCTTTCTTTTTCTTTGTGTCATTCCTTTTCTTCATTTTGTACCTTTTACCACTTTGTTGCATTCCTCGTCTCCCCCCCAAAAAAAACTTATGCTATAGCCTTGTTCTAAGGAAAGATAAGGTGCCAAGAGAGGGTCTTTTTAGAACGGGTAAAGGCTTGTATCATGGTCTTTGAAGGAAAAAGGGATATGGCTCAAAGTGGTTGACTAGGGATATTATCATTGGTAGGCTATGGATGTTTTCAAGATAACATTCGGATCAAGGAGAGCCTATAATCACTTCTCAAGTCAAACTACACTTAGGATTTTGCCTAGACAAACATTCAGGGCAAGTTCTAGACTCAATGGCACAGGACTTGGACTTACAATTCAAATTCTCACGACAAAAGCTATAGGATTGCTAAAGAGACAGAGTCGGGGGCCCACAACAACCTTAGCTAAGATTTGAGCAACACAAATGGTCCCGAAAAACCACTTGATGATTGTCGGCCAACATAAGAGTCTCAAGGTCACAACTGTCACCATCCTATACACACCAATTTCTTTTTGACCATAAGATCAAAGGCAAATGTGATAGGCCCAAGTGAAGCTTTGCTTGAGGCACTATTACTCATTAGCTACTATTTACACAAAAACAAAAAGAAAACAGACTCAAACCCTTAAGAAGGTTGTCATGTCATCCATCATCGGGAAGAGTCACCTGGTTCACACAAATTCCACCTTTGAAAAGAATCGTGGCATTAAGAAAACCAAAGGCTTATTGCACGCAAAACTCAAAATAAGAAGCTACGAAAGTGAAGTAAGAAGCTATGAAAAGAAAATGCGCAAAGGAAAAAGAATATGTACAATAGGGGATTTAGACGAATATACATAAAAGGGAATGAATATATACATCAGAAAGTAACTTTATATACAGACCAAGGTTGCAAAGTATGAAAAGTGAAATAAACGGGTAAAATTATATATATACCAAAAATGAAAAAGTATAATAAAATGAAAATAGTATCATATTTACAACCCAATATCATCAAAATAGGGCTACCCCCTCAAATGAAAGCTAGCATTGTCCTCAATGCTAACTAACCAAAGATAGTTCAAGAAAAGATAGAGAGTAAAGAGAAACTCCCTATTGGCCATTCGTTTGTATGGGATCATGAGCCTAGGTCCCTGTGTCCTGTGACTGCTCGGGAACCTATGACTAGATCTCGGTATCTTGTGCCTGCAGTGGGGCCTGAGGCTGCTCTGGGGCCTAAGGCTGGCTAGAGGAACCTCCCTGCGGGTCCTCCAACTCTATCACTGCATCAACCGTCTGTGGAATCACTCTCCTCCTTTTTGGTGCCCTCTCCATCTCCTACTCTTACTCCATATCAGTTTGAGCTACTGGAGGATACTCATGAAACAACAACGCTAATGGCAAATTATCAGTAGCATTCATCTTTTCCACTTCTACCCTCATCTCCTTCACAGACTCCTTTGATGCTCGAGTCTTTCTCAGCTTCTTTGTTTCCTTAGTCAGCTCCTTCAACGTTTTCCCATGAGTACCTACAGCCTCCAATATCAACTGTTGGTTCTCCGGGAGCTTCTTCTGGTTGTCCAGAACCTCCTTGAGAGTCTCCTTCATTAAGGCTGGAATTGTAGCTGTGGGGGTACGGACTGGGCTGCCACCGAGTGAGGCTTTTTGGCTTTAATTCTGAGTCTGTAAATTTGTCCACCGCGGACCGCATAAAATACAACGCGGCCGCAGTGGCTTCACTGTGGTCCGCACAAAATGGACCTCGGACTGCGATGGCTTCCAATCTTCCAAACACCCAGCTCTCTAAATCTCCTCTCCGTGGACCGCATAAAATGGATTGCGGTCACGGTGAAGCTATTGCGGCCACGGTGAGGCTACTACGTCCGCAAAGAATCTTTCGCGGACTGCACTGCTTGAAGCCCCAGAAATGCACCTCTCTGAACTTATCCACCGCAGACCGCACTAAATGGTCTGCGTCCGCGGTGGGTCGATTGCGACTGTAGTGGATTTTATGTTGTAGCAGTGCCTTGACTTGTTCTTGGTACTTGTGCAGGTTTCACTCCTTTTTTGTGCTGGTTTTGGCTACTTATCACTTTTTTTACCAAACCTTGCAAACAAGCACAACATGTAAGCTTTCAGGATTACTTGTATACATTTTTAGTCCAAAACAAAAGCAAAAAGGAATATAAAATAGACTAGAATCCCTAGTTATCACATTCATCAAGGACGAGGTAACTAAACTCATTAAAATAGGGTCCATCTGGGTGGTCAAATACCCCGAATGGTTAGCAAATGTAGTAGTAGTCCCAAGGGGAACAAACTAAGAATGTGTGTGGATTATAAATATTTAAATAAGGCATGCCCCAAAGATTCTTTTCCTTTGCCTAACATCGATCGCATGATCAATGCCACAACCACGAAATCCTCAGTTTTCTCAATGCCAACTCCGGTACAACCAAATATGGATGAACCCGGATGATTAAGAAAAACCCTCTTTAATCACTAAGTATGGCACATACTGCTATAACGTAATGCTATTTGATTAAAAAATGTTGGTGTCACTTACCAATGCCTAGTAAACCGAATGTTCTAAGAACAAATAGGAAAATCCATGGAAGTTTACATTGATGATATCCTAGTCCCTACGAGCAGAGGACCATTTAAAGCATTTGCAAGAAACCTTCAGTATATTGAGGAAGTACAACATGAAGTTGAATCTAGAAAAGTGCGCGTTCAGAGTCAGATCAGGTAAATTCCTCGGATTCATGGAGTCCAACCGAAAAATCGTGATCAACCCCAAAAAGATCAAAACAATCGAGGATATCACGCTAGTAGATAATATCAAGGCCATACAAAGGCTAACTGGGCTCATTGCAGCACTGGGGTGATTCATCTTGGGGTCTTCCGATAAAAGCCATCAATTTTCTCGTTGCTGAAAAATAAAAACAACTTCACATAGAACCTGGAATGCCAACGGGCTTTAGATGAACTTAAGCGATATTTATCGGGCCCTCCATTGCTTCACATGCCGAGGGTAGACGAATGACTATACTTGTATCTAGCAGTATCAGAAATAGCAGTAAGTGGAGTCCTAGTCCGGGAAGAACAAGGTATATAATTTCCAATTTATTATCTTAGCAGGACCTTAGGTGAGGCCGAAACTAGATATCCTCACCTAGAAAAATTGGCACTCGCTTTTCTAAGTGCCTCTAGAAAACTGAAACCATATTTTCAGTGCCATTCTATATGTGTTGTGACAACCTACCCTTTACGAAATATAATGCATAAACCCAAACTCTCGAGACGATTGGCCAAATTGTCCATAAAAATCAGTGGGTACGATATCGAATATGAACCCCGAACAACCATTAAATCTCAAATTTTGGAAGATTTAGTGGCCGACTTTACACCGCCCTAATATCCGAAGTCGAAAGAGAGTTGTTGGTAAACTCGGGAAAGCCTACAGGAATCTGAAACCTCTTTACGAACGGTGCCTCGAATGTAAAGGGGTTCGGACTTGGCATCGTATTAAAGCCACCCACAGGCAATATAGTTAGACAATCTATTAGAACTGTAAAATTGACTAACAAAGAGGCCGAATATGAGGACATGATCACAGGTCTCAAACTAGCTAAAGGCTTGGGAGTGGAGGTGATTGAAGCTAAGTGTGACTCCCTCCTTGTAGTAAACCAAGTTAACGGGATGTTCTAAGTCAGAGAAGAATGAGTGCAAAGGTACCTAGACAAGTTCCAAGTAACGTTACATCGGTTCAAAGAGTGGACTTTGCACCATGTGCCTCGAGATCAAAATAGTAAGGACGATGCCCTTGCAAACTTAGGGTCTTCAGTAAAAGATGACGAGCTCAACTCGGGGGCGGTCGTACAACTCATAAGGTCGGTAGTAGAGGACAGTCACGCTAAAATAAACTCCACAAGCTTAACTTGGGATTGGAGAAATAAATACGTAGAATATTTGAAGAGCGGGAAACTTCTCTCTAATCCAAAGGAATCGAGGGCCCTATGCACAAAAGCAGCCCGATTCAGTTTGTCTGAGGATGAAACCTTATTTAGGAGAATTTTCGATGGCTCACTAGCAATATGTCTGGGATTGGAAGATACTGAATACGATCTAAGGGAAGTTTAGTAGGGCACTAGCAGAAATCATTCAGGCGTCGAATCATTGGTTCAAAAGGTGATCAGAGTCGGTTATTACTAGATCAACATGAAAAAGGATGCGAAAGAGTTCGTACGAAAATGTGACAAGTGCCAAACGTATGCTCTGATGATTTACCAACCTAGGGAACTGTTGCATTCGGCTTATTGCCATGGCCATTCATGAAGTGGGGGATGGATATCGTCGGCCCTCTTCCATGGGCACCAGGTAAGGCTCAATTAATCTTATTTATGACTGACTATTTTTCTAAGTGGGTTGAAGCACATGCATACGAGAAGGTTAAGGAGAAGGAAGTCATTGACTTTATTTGGGACCACATCACATGTTGGTTCGAGAAACTGTCCAAAATTATATGTGACAAGGAAAAATAGTTTATCGGCAAAAAAGTGGCCAAATTTCTCGAAGATCATAAGATCAAAAGGATTTTATCGATACCTTATCACCCTAATGGGAATGGGCAAGCCGAATCGACCAACAAAACAAAAATCCAAAGCCTTAAGAAAAGGCTGACTGACGCTAAGGGAAAATGGAAAGAGATCTTGCCCGAAGTTCTTTGGGCATATCGCACAACTTTGAAATCCAGTACCTGGGCTACCCCGTTCTCATTGGTTTATGGCACCGAAGCTCTAATACCGATTGAAATCGGGAAGCTGAGTATCAGATTCCGATATGTAACAAAGGAATCAAATAAAGAGGCCATGAATACGAGCCTGGGGCTATTGGATGAAAGGCTTGAAGTCGCCCTTGTTAGATTAGCCACCCAAAAGCAATGGATCGAGAGCTATTAAGATCGAAGGGCCAACCTTTGATACTTCAATATCGGGGACTTAGTTCTAAGGAAGGTCACACTAAGCACCCGAAATCCGAACGAAGGGAAATTAGGTCCGAACTATGAAGGACCATACTAGATTCTCGAGGTCAAAGGGAAAGGATTCTATAAGCTCGGAATGACAAGTGAAGAACAACTACCTAACAATTGGAACGTAACTCACCTAAAATGATATACTAAGGTATGACCCCATTTCATTTCTTTTTATTTTCGGACTAACACTTGTAGGTGGTCGAAAAAGAGCGCCACGAAGTCTTTAGATCTGAAAGCACGCGTTGCACTCTTTTTCCCTTGAACCGTTTTGATCCAAATTGGGTTTTTCAGTAAGGTTTTTAATGAGGCAACAGTGATCATGCTAACTTAGAATCAAAGGCCGATCATGAATCGATGTCGAAGACATCATTAACAGTATCTGAGGTTCCTCTACAATCAACCTCAAATACTGGGGGGCGTTACCCTTAGATATCGACTTTTGTGAGGAAATTATCTCGTAATGGAAGGGTCTTAATAGGTAGAATTTATTGTAAGGTCCAAATAGTCAAACGGATCGTGCCCACGTAGATTGATCGAACCCTGGCATAAAACATGTACGTATGTATAACTATTTAGCACAAGAATAAAGAGAAGTACTTTCCTTACAGTCATCTTATGTTTAAAAATTTCCTCTTTACTTACCTTAAAGAATTTCATACTTTCGATCTCCTAAAAGAAACGAGCTCAAGGGCCAATTATAAATAGAATTCGGATGGTCGCTCCCTCACTCGAAGACTATCGTCCGAAAACAAACTTGAACAGATCGAGCTATTAAACATGGGGTACACAAGACCTATTAGGCAACCCCCGAATTTTAAAGACCACGGCCATACCTATTCAGGGATTGTTATCTTAGGGAAGACTGGATAACTCGGGAAAGCAAGCTCACTAGGTTACAGCCATATCAACAAAGCTCGGAGACATCCGAGAATCGTAAAAAAAATAGGCCTTAAAATATTCAAAAACCAGTTCTAAAGGCTACCCTCGGCAAACTATAACCTGAGTTACTTACTTCGGGAGAAAGTTTTCGGTAACACCGAACCCCCAAGACGCCTCAACACAAAATAATGTAAAGGCAGGGTTTGTTCGAACTTACACAACCTAAGTTATTTTATGCTAAGTCATTCCGACCTTTGTGAATACAAGTAATAAAGCAAATAAAAAATTTCAAAGCCAAAAGGGAAAAGAAAGCCTTGTATATATTTATCCAATAATCTTTTTACAAAGGCCAGAATGCCTTAATTCAAATATTTACAATGGCCGAAACAGCCTAAAAAGATGCAAAAGAAAGCAAAAAATATAAAGGCATAAGTGGCCCGGTCTTCATCGGAGGTAGCATCTCCGCCGTAGGGATCTTCCCCACCTTCAGACTCGCTTAAACTCTCAGAATCTTCCTCGGGAAAGGCCAGCTTTCGGGCCCTATCTTCTTCTTTTTTGGTGTTCTTGATTTCAGTTAGTATATCGAAGTCCTGAGCATGGACTCCCTCGAGGGCTTCCCTTAGAGCTTGCCACCATGCATGATCCACCATACTCTTGGCCTGCGCCTGGATGGCCTCGACGTCGACCTTGAATTGGGCCACTTTAGAATCAGCTTTGCTATTGGCCACGGCCACCTCAGATTTGGCTGCCTCGAGTTCATTGGCTAAGTTTGCCTTATTAGAACTAGCCAAGTCCAATTGGGATTGAAGCCACTTGATTTTCTTGACCTACACCGAGGCTTTCTCTTTTGCAGTTAGCAGTTGGGTCTCGTCCGACTCCAATTGTGCTTGGGCGCTTCCCTTTTCGAGGCTAAGATGTCTATATTTTTCTTGAACTCCTCAGCCTCGGCTTGAATCATATCTACCTATTCCTAAAGCTCCCCGATCTGTTCAAGCCTTTGCTGGACCTGCAGGATCGGATTGTTAGTCACTATTTTCAATTTGTCTTCACTATCGTGAAGCACTCGAAATACCTGCTTGGGCATCTCAGCATGCTCATTTCGAGCCATTTCTAACTCGACCTGAAGCTTCTCACCTAGAAGCTCGTAGGTGTCCCTCTTCTTAGTGAGATACCAAACTTCAGCCTCGTGGTGGGTTAATTCCTCTCGGTATCGGTAGAAAGTTTCATGATGCAGCACTGAAGCCTGCAAGCATAAGGGAAGGTGTTATGGTTATTTACAACTATAAAATTAGAATATATGAGAAGAAAAATACAAAAGGTTACCCGATTTAATGCTTGTTGGGCTTCATTAAATAGATAGGGGGTTTCCACCTTGTCCATCACTGCCTGATCTTCTTCGGTCACCAAGCACCAAAGATAGCTAGCGACCCTACGGGGGTAGAGAAAACTCGAACATCTTATGGGATAGAGAAAGTTATTGACCGTCTTCGGTCAGTATAGACACTCGGGGCTGGGAACCGGTTTACCAATTTTGGGCTCGAGGAAGACCCACTGGCTCCCGGCGATGGTACCTTCTTTGGCACCAGCAAGTCTCCGAGCCAAGTGACACCCTCGAATGCAATAGACTCAAACCTATCCAAGAAGGTGTGGATATATGTCGCCTCTTAAAGCCCCTCGTAAGGACAATCTTCTAACATACTGGCCTCATAGATCATGGCATCTGAGAACTAAGGAGACTCGGTAATGTCAATTGCCCCGAGCACGTCTTTTAGGGCACTTTCCTCTGCTCGAGGAGTGTCAGCTCTGGTCTCCATCTCGACACCCCTAGCTTGGGGTGAAACAGCCTCACCCCCTTCTGGTTTGGGAGCTTCAGCCAGAGCTCTCTCACTGACCTCCTCATGTTAAGATGATTCAACTTCAGCACCCGCCTGTTCGAGAGCCTTTTGTATCGTGACACCAGCCCGCACGCGGATCACCAGTTTGGATTTATCTTTCTCTTCTTCTTCTTCTTCGGACTCATCCCTTAGTCGATGGACTAAGTTCGAGGATAAAGCGTCGGAGCTCCCCTTGGGCTTGCAAGACCTCCTCTTCGGCTTTTTCTTTTCTGAGTTCAAGGAACTCGAGACCCTTTTTCTCTTCTTATCGTCACCCTGCTTCGGAGCAAGGGGCTCGAGAGGCACATCCTCATTACCAGATGGAGGCCTCATAGCATTGTCTTTGGGGAGAACTACAAAAGAAAATAGAGCATATAAGAATTCCACAGTACAAGGAGAAAATCAAATAGTATTGAATCAGAAGAGAAAACCTACCATGATTACGGGCCTCCTATCGATGCTTTGATAACTCCATCCAAGCACGCTCGGAATATGGTCTTTGTGACACAAGGCCCTCGACCCATTCCTTGAGTTCAGGAACTACGTTCGATACTGTCAAACCTTCTTTTTACCTACACCCCTGGAGAAGGGTAGTAAGGGGAGTTTTTTCCAACTTAAAGTGACAATCGAAATGGGATTATTTATTTATTAAATTCAGAGTCGCCACTTGGGATATTTTATGGTGTCCCAAGTCACCGGTTCAAATCCCGAATCAAGGAAAAGATTGACTCTGTATTACAGTCCGCGAACCAGAAATTAGGGTAAGGAATTTTGTTAACCCGGGAGAAGGTGTTAGGCATTCCTAAGTTCCGTGGTTCTAGCACGGTCGCTCAACTGTTATGTTCGGCTTAATTATATGATTTTAAACAATTATGAACCCATGTGCAAATTTTAGCTTTAACCGCTTTTATTCATTTTTTTAAAGGAAATTGCAACGTTATTAAAACATGTCTCGAACCACGTCACATAAATGCACCCGTGGTTTTTGACATATTTTAACATCGTTGAGATTTGGATTTGGGTCACATAAATGTGCACCCGAGTTTAGGAAGGTAAATTATTAAGATAACGCGCCTAAAGCAACTACGCATTTTTAACATTTGCGAAGGCCATGAAAATTTGCTAAATGGCACGCCTCGAATTCTAAGGATTTTAAAATAATTAAACGAGGGCCACGCATTTAAGATTTTATTTGGCGCGGTGCACTTCAATTCCATTTTTAAAAGAAAGAAAGAAAGTTCAATCTAAATGTTTGAGGGCCATAGCTATTTCGTGTTATCTAACCACCGCTCCCCTTAATTTATTAATTCAACGAGCAAGAGAGATCGTTGCTGACTAGACTAAACCCTTTGACCAAATTAAAGTCAACAGTCCTGCGTTGTGAATTGTATTATTATGCAAGGACTTGGGCCCAACAGCTAGCCCTTTACATGGAAAGACAAATGAGGTAAATAAAAATAACAAATGGGCTTACATCCCCAGCCCAATGTGAGTTACGAATTTGGAACTTGAGCCACATCAAGTGCAGACTCGAGATCGAGTCTCCCTGCACGAGAATCATCCAATTATAGGGGAATCAGCGAGATCCCAAATTTTGCTAATAAAATGAGTGCCCCAACTCAAACCTTAGGATCAAGTCCTCAGGACCAACTACCATTTGCGTTTAATCAGAAACCAACATAAAAATGAAATTGAACTCTGTTCTTTAAGTGTTGAACCATTAACTGAACATTACAACCCATGATTTCCAATTACAGGTGCTCACAATCAAACCAAAATGAGCTAAATCTATTGTCGAATATACTATGGATCATTTTTCTTATAGCATAATTATAATACCCCAGAAATCCGAAAAAAATACTTCCAGTTAAAACCAGTAGCTGAACATATGATCCACAGAACATGATTAATATATTGTCAACTAAAGAACACCCTAGCAGCTGAGTTCAAAACTATTTACAATTACCAGATTTCTCAAACATGCATGTGTGACTTGAACCTATATAACAAACTGTCCCTTTAGCTTTACAATAGTTCCAAATCAATTATAAAAGTAATCGTTTAATTAACACAGAGGTCAACTAACAATATGGCATGTCAAACAAGAAAAGAAATTCAAAGTAAAGCATAGTTAAACTAGAAAACGATCGAAATTATGCTTCAGAATTCTTCTTTCTTATTTATTCTTCAACTGAAAGTTTCACCCAAACATGTGGAGTTTCAAGAAACATGTACCTGGAAGAAAATAAAACCAGAAAATGAGGAGACAGCAGTAATATCATCATGCAATCAGCAGCAAAAACCAACCAGATTCAACAATTAAACCCAGAAATCCACTCAGAAAACCAACGGAAGATCAATACTCAACCAGTTTGACTCAGAACCTTTAACAACCAGACCTCAATACATGGTGGATATCAGGATAGGAACTTTATTTTTTCAGAAGTAAAAGATCACTGAAATTTTGATGGAACGGTAAAATATTAGCTGTTTCAGAAATTCTCTATTTTCTATCTCTTAGGTCTCTTGCTTTTTTTGCAAAGCAAGTTTGGGTTGCCTTTATAGGCAAGGGCCTAGGGCAACCTTCAGATTTCTTATTTTGCATTCTACCCCCTCTTTAGTTCTCCTTTTTAGCTTAAAAATACCTCAATTACTGACTTGTTGGCCAAACTAACCTACTAACAATCTAAAATTCGAATTAACACCCCCACCCAAGCTTCCTAGAAGCTTCTTATTTCTGTTACACTAAAGATTCCTTAACTACAATCTCCAAATTACCCTTTAAGGCCCTGTTAATTACCTCCGAAACCTACCCCAAATGGGTCAGGGGTCAAGTGACCCAATGACCTGAGCCCCAAATTGAATTGGCTATTCTTGTGGAAATGGGTCATAGCCAACCCAGAAACCAAATGACACAACTAGTGAAATGTAAGCACACGCTGAGATGATTCAAATAAAAAATCTATACCAAGTGATTTAGTAACTTGAAATAACCAACTGATGTGCCTAAAACTAGATTACTGCTTAATTAACACAGAAAGAAGTAACTAAATTGTCAAACCAAACTAATTAACCAATCAAGACAGGATTCTCAATTAACCATGCATGTAATCAAAAATAAGAAAGAAACCAGAAGAACAGAAAGAACAGAAAGAAAACAATGAAGGAAAAACAAAACAAAAGAAGATTAATCACAGACAAAAAGAAATACCTTCTACAATTCGGACCAAGAAAAAGGCAACTCAACTCTTCAAATCATTGGACTCCTGGTCCAATATGATATTAATCGCATGTTCTCATAGAGAACAAGTGAATAAAATCATTTTGGACCAACATCGTCCGTAGACTCTCGATTTTGACTTTTAGGGCTCAACTTGTGATTTAATATTCGAAGAGTCTCATTAGGATTCGAGGGTAGTGGGTTGGGTATCTAGGATGAGGAGGTCATGGTGGTCATTTGGTGTTGATTTGGTAGGAAAAGGGGTCGGCGCCGCCGGCGGGTGTGGTGGAAAATAAGGGCGCCGGGTAGGGTTTTGGAGGGGTCTNATATATATATATATATATATATATATATATATATATATTCAGACCTCCCCACTTCTGAACCGTCAGATCAACTAACCTCGACGGTCGAATTAAAAGGCGAAACGACGTCGTTTCGGATGGAGGGGGACCGGACCGGGTTGAGACGCGGGTTTGGGTCGGGTTTCGGTACTTAACAATTGGGCCTGCGTTTCTTAATCGGATTTGTCCCAACAGATCTTTAAGAACAAATTCCTTTTCTCTTTTCTTTTTTCTATTATTCCTCTTTTTCTCTTTTTTCTATAATTAATTGAAATCCCAAATTAAATCCTAAATTGATCTAATCTTTAAAATTAGGCTAATTATCAACTATAATATTTACAAAAAATTAATTACTCCTAAATTAAAAGAGGAAATTACTAATTTAAAGCTAAAAGGCTAAAAATGCAAAAGTAAGCCAATTTTTTGTAATTTTTCCCATTTTTATAAAACAACTAATTTGCTAATTAATCCTAAAATATAGAATTAAATCCTAAATGCAAATGCCACGTATTTTTGTATTTTTCATTAGTTAAACAAAATTAACATGCACAAACAAATGCAAATAATTATCACAAAATCCTCAAAATTCCAAATAATGAAAAAATGTTATTTTGTTTTGAATGTATGGGAGTAATTCATATATTGGACAAAAATCACGTGCTCACAGCTGCCCCTCTTTGCCCGGAAACACGAAGAGTTTTCGTGAAAAGATAAAGTGAGCGGATACGAGCAATTTTTGCCCGTTTGAATACTCCGTTGGAAGCATTTGAAAGATTTGACCGCACCCTGCTTCCGAGGTTGCCTACGTATCCTTGGCTAAAAAGGAATCAGGTCAGTGTAGTTCAGGAATATTTGGTAGTTGGGACTACCATGAAGCGGTGATCTCATTGTTGTTGTTGCTGCTGCTACTGCTTACTGCATCCCCTTATTACACCATGATAAAATAAAAAGAAGCTAGACTATACTGTGGTCTATGCATTACGAAATCCTATCTATATCTTCAAACTTGCTCTTGTGGTTCTTGTTGCCTTGTTGACTTGTATTCTCTTGGTGGAATCCTTTTGTTGCCGCCTTGAATTGTAATCTGAGATGTTTTCCTTTCTCCAGGTGGATGCCTGACTGCCAACTACACTTTGAGATGTTTTTCTTTTCTCCAGGGGGCNCAAGTGGGCGCCTGATTGTTGAACTTGAATTGTATTCCTGTGCTCTCCAGGTGGGCTCCTGACTGCTAAATTGAAATGTATTCCCTGCTCTCCAGGCGGGCTCCTGACTTCAACAAAATAGACAAAAACAAAGAAATTTTTTTGCCCCCGTTTGGGTATCTGGGCACACATGTAAGTGTAAAACGGATCATATTACCAAGTATTAATAAGAACTTGAAAGATAAACTTGAATTGTACTCCCTTGTTCTACAAGCGGGCTCCTGACTGCTGACTTGAAATGTATTCCCTGCTCTCCAGGCGGGCTCCTGATTGCTGACTTGAAATGTATTCCCTGCTCTCCTAGCGAGCTCCGGATTGCTGACTTGAAATATATTCCCTGCTCTCCAGGCGGGCTCCTGATTGCTGACTTGAAATGTATTCCCT